ACCACGGGAATAAATGATTGACCATGGTCCACCCAGGTGGACATAGGTGAACCACGGGAACAAATTAATATCCGTGGTCCACCCTGGTGAGCCAGACAGGTGATCCACGTGCAAGACACGGAATTTTGCCTGTTTATACATGTAATATTTTTGAAATTTTTAAGGCTTTTCAAACGACCCTGTGATTGGTCGGTTTGAATTTCCTAATGCGTTCTTAAAGCGAATGAACTATGGCTATTGCATTCTTTGTTTCATCGCCTACTTGAAAACCAGTCTTGCATTTTGGTGTTCTTCTAATTGCCCCAGTTTACACAGACACTGTCGACTTAGCATCTCATTGTTAATTTCTTATTTCTCTTTCGTATGACTTTAACACGTATGGATATTGACCCCTTTTGTGTTAGGTCTCTCATCTTCATAGCTTTCAAAAATAATTGCAATAGACCGTTTTTTGTTATTTGGAACTCGATTATATTTACATTTTTATTAAAGATTTACTTTTATCCATAATAATACGAGTACTTATCAGAAAGTGAATATGTGTACGGAAATTATGTAATATTCGCTTAAAAGATGTCTTATTCGTTCATTTACATAGCCAAAAGGTTACACGTTACTTCTGGATCTTAAACGATGGCTATTGGATTGACTTTTGACGTCAAAGATCGTCACATCAATAGAAGACGTTAGTTAGGTATGCATAACTATGTGTATAATATACTTAGGTACCTAAAAACTGGTTTTTTATTCTTAATGATAAAAGACTCAATGAAAAGTCCATATACATTATCTCCCGACCTACCATAAAAAACCTACAACGTCAGCGTTTCGCGAAAAAAACAAAACAAAACAGAATTTGCTGGATAACAGCATTACGAGTAAACAAGAGAATAAAGATGGCGGTCTATGAATAAAATAAAAATAGGAGATGTTATCAATGGCTGAGTCGCATATGCCGACTTATTATGCTCCTAATAACATGGACGTATTAACTTTGGATGTAGACGTGTGT